TACACTATTTTCAGAAATTGCTGAGATAATTATTGACCATATGTTTTAATGTTAATTAATACTCTATATAACGTATTTTAAAGTATTTGAATTTAATAATATTCTAATTCTTTTAAATGTTGGTATGATGGTTTTAAATTCGATATTCAATTTCAGTAATTCAATTAATCTAATTAAACGTTGACCCAATGTTTTTATAGCGGTGTTTTTATTCTCTTCTTTGCTATATGAAAGTAATAATAACCTTACTTTAATATTTTATACTCATAGTAAATGTATTTATTTACACTTGCCTGCCATCTTAAAAAACGGCATTTTCAACAAAAAATTAATCCATTACTTTTAATGATATTTATTTTTTTTAAAGTTTCGAATACTTTACTATGCGTAAAAACAGCGTTTTTCAAGATGGCTGACGTTTGTAAAAATCGCGCCAACAATTGCGCCAACGTAAATCGCCAAAAATCCGTGCAACCGTCTACCAAAGTAGCACCTGCTTTTGTTCGTAAAAATGTGGTGGAACGACAGAAATATCAGCCCCGGTGTCTACAAGAAACCTTAAGCCCGAATTATTTTCGATGACGAAACGGCGTGCAAAATTTCCGTCCGCTGTCGTTCACGACTTCGAGCAACGGTCCTTCTCGTTTCCCTGGTCGTTATAACGACACGGTGGGCGGCATTTGTTTGCCTTGTTTCCAAATTTGCGGTGGTAAAAACAAATACCCGGAGGAGGGCTTTCATAACGTTTCCTCAGTGGTTTCATAACGTGTATTTCGACCACGTGATGATGAGCGGTTTGCGCTGAAAATGTTCAGCTTGGATGGCTACTAACTGAGGCAACCTGTTTGGACAAATCATCAATTTGAGCCTGTAAACGCCACAATACCTGGACCAGGAGCCTGCGCTGCGTGTATTTGCGCTGGAATGGCTAGCTCGTGAATTTTATCAGTGATTTCGAGAAGATTTTTAAGTGGCTCGCTACTGGCCGCTAAAATCGTTTGCATGTTAGATGGGAGTCTATTCATCCATAATGTTTTAAGAATGCTATCCGTTAGGTTACTGGCGGCTAAGTCTGACATTTTAGACAGCAATTGAGAAGGCCTCATATCACCCAACTCTAAATCGTGCGCAACAGCTGCATTGATTTTAACTGCCTTGGATTCTTCATAAAACACAAATATTTTTTTTTTTAAAGTTTTGTATTTGTCCATCGCCGGTGGATTCAAAATTATTTCGCGAGCTGATTGCAGTACCTCTGATTCTAACGTGGCGATGGCAGTATAAAATTGAGTTTCGTCGGCAGTAATGTGACTCAATTTAAACTGCGCATCCAATTGAATGAACCATAACAATGGGTCTCGCGACAAAAAGGAGGTGGCTTAACAACCACTCTCGCCATTTGTGAAGCAGCATCGTTTTCAACCACTTTAGATCAATCAAATATGCTCAATAATAATATGTATAGAAAAATAATCAATATGTATATAGTGACACAGTTTTTTGGTACTTGAAATCAGATTGGCGGTTCAAATGCAGCAGACGATACATATATCCGTTGAAATTATGACAGAAATATGTCGACTCACACGAATGGGGCACAACGCTTGAAATCACAGGTCTTACTTGCATCTCATCACACTGGATAACTTACTGTTGCTCAGAATTTTGACATACGAGTATAAACACCATATTCGTGCAACATTGAAGGTTGCTATTCATAATAAATACGGGTTACCAATTATGGTAGTATAATTTGAGACAGATCGTTAAATAATAATAACAATTGAATAGAATAAATATCATTTTATTTTTGGTTGCTATGGGTTACCAGACTGGCCCAGTTGAGTTGCAGTAGGCAAGTTGCCACATATCGATTTTATCTATAATGTATATTAAACTTTTAATTGTTTAAAAATTGTACTTTTTAAAAACACTTATATAAATATGTAAAATAAATAACACGTTTTTAACTAATTCTAGATAGTCGTATGTATGATTTTTCCGCCGACACAGATGCATTTCCGAATCCAAGGCTGGTGTAGTTAGGTAGTGGGCTATTCTTAATATATTTTTGAGTATTTTATGGCAGATTCAGCATTTTATTATTATTTGCATTATTTTCATATTACGAATATGTTCTATACATTATATTACTGAAAGTTTTTTGTGGGGGGCGCCAAAAAGATTTTTTGCCCCGGGCGCCAATTATGTTTGCTACGCCACTGGATAAATTTATTAGAATTTAGAGAAGACAGGGCAGCAAAATTTAGGACTCACGGAAATTGCACTGAGTGGCCAAATATCTAGCGCCAGCCCTGGTTTTATAGGTAATAGAATACGGAATCCGAGATCCGGACATCCAGTACCCGGAATGATCTAACATGCGGACCTTAGGATCATCAGCTGTCAGTAAAAAAGAAAAATATATTTAAAAATTCCCCTTTTATCCTTAAAATACAGGAGTGTGGAACATAGTACAGTAAGACCCCGCTTAACGCTGTTTCGTTTAGCGCTGTTTCGGTTTAGCGCTCTTTTATTTCAACCCCGGGATTCCACGAAATCGCTCGCAGCATACGGGGATTCCACGAAATATTATGCAGCGATAGGTTTCAAATACATATCCGAAAGAGTGTACTTGTATTTCTTATTTGGTGCGGTATTGTACAGACATATTTTGAAGGGGTAAATGTGGGAGATGTTGAAGAAATAATTCAAGAAGCAGCGGCTAGTCTTTCTAATGATGAGCTCAAGGAATTAACTGAACGAGAAGAAAACAAAAATGTTGACAGCAGTGATTCAGAAGAAGAGCAAAAAGAACTTTCGATGGCGTTTGTAAAAAGGAGTTTGTCTACCATAACTGAAATAATGGATCAATTCATTGAAAATGATGCGAATTTTGACAGGAGCTCAAAAAGTAAGGCTTGGTGTTAGAGATGCTCTATCCGTTTATGAAAGAACTTTTAAGAGAACAACGCAAAAGAAAAAAGGCAAACAACATTAGATAGATGCTTTTGTCACAAAAAGGCAGAACACTGAAAACGCGGAAGGCTAACTAAATATGACTGACTTAGAATTTTATTTGTTTTTTTTAAGAATATTCGTTTTGTTATTATTTTTGCAAGAAATAATAATGTGGTATTAATTTGGGCTTTAAGAAATAAATGTTTGGTTTTATTTTTATTAAAAAAAATACTTTGTAAATTTAATACCTAACCAATTTCCTAGCCATCTTCCCCTAACACCAATATTTACATGTAAAGATAGCCTCGTTTAGCGCTGTTTCGCATTACGCTCTACTTTGATGGAACGTATCCCCCGCGTTAAGCGGGGTCTTACTGTACTCAACAAAAGTCAGAAGGTGTGACGCAAATGCAGTTTTTCTCCCTTATAGATTCCTGCATGGCACTTTTAGACATTTTGTTTGCTGGTGAGTGGCAACATGGCCAATGACAATACATTGATTGACGCTGTTTTGAGGTTCGGCAGGATTACACTTTATGTCCTCGAGTGGTTGTGAGAGGGTTAGCTTTTAAAGTACGATTACGTTCCTCCATAATGGTCTGATGGAAAAACTAAACTTAAGGCGCTATTTGAGGTGTGCGCGAACGCCTATATCTTCGAAACTACAAATATTACAAACAATCTAAGCACCTCATTAGACAGATGAAAGCGTACATTTAACAAACACACACACACACACACACACACCAAAAAAAAAAAAAAAATTCAAAGAATAAATAAAATTGAGTAATGCGTCAAAGATAGCTGAATTATTTTTTACTTGCGCATGCGCAATAGCGTGCAAGTACAAGGTCGTCTGATAGACAGTCGTGCGTAGACGGCCAGTGTGTTCGATTGGTGATTCCTGTATTTTATTTTATTGCACCAAGAGTCCTACAGATATACCCTATTATTATGATGAGAGATTTCAAGGTAGGCGTCAAACGAAGTGAAAAGGCATTTGATTTTATAAAACATCATTTTAATTTCAATATGGTGTCAAGTAGCTGCCAAGTCACTATTAAAGTACACTTGACATATATAGATTTAAGATTTATTATGAATACTGCAGACACCTTTACTGCTTAAATTATGTATCTTATATCTCATCTCATCGACCAGTTTTACATGGGGTCATATTGAATGTAATAAATTTAATAAACAGAAAATAAAATATATGTTGTGTGTAAAATCTGTTGTTTGTTTTATTTGTTCTACAACATCCTCACACGTCCACTAATAATCCTACGCATTAAACAACAGAGGCTTTTAAAATCAATACTGAGAGCTTACCTTCAATTTTTTCCTATCTGATCTAAACAATAAGCGAAGTCCCAGTGCTGCCGTATTTACATGTCATGCTACAACATTTAAACTAATGATATAAAATCCGAAAATTTCCGATATCGTGAATCTCCGAAGTCCAACGAGTTGGGATATCGCGCATTGTACTGCAGATAATAGGATTCTGTGTCTTTAGCCACAGATTCTATCTAAAAAGGATTAATTTTTATATATAATTTTTGTTGTTAACAGAATTAAATCAAACAGAAATAATTTCCATTTTCTGATGCAAGGTTTTTTTGACATCTGACATTCGTGAAACGGCACTTACGCGTAACACGGATGCCTTTCACGCTTCCGCCACAGATGTTTTTTTGTTGTATTGTGCGCTCTGTTACGTCGAGATACGTCACTGTTTCTATGGCAATAAAACGGCAGTATTGTTAGATGATAAAGAGACAGTTGCAACATTTGGCACGTTCTCCCTTCCCTAAGTGTTTTAAATTTCATTTTCAAATTTTAATTTTAACGGAATAAAAATAATCACTACATGTAAATAATTCAATATAAATTATGCGCGTGATTCAGATGCCTAACCTTATAAATTAAAAAAAAATAATAAAAATTTTATTTGCTTGAATGAGAGTTGGCGATCAATTGGCGCGATTTGCTTTTTAACTGCAAGGCGAATGTTGGCAACCATAGTAAATCCGTAATGGCTACTCATAGATAAATTGAATTTTTCTGTCGTCCAGTCTTTCTCTTTACATCACTGCACCTACTAAATGTCAAATATGCTATTGTTAATTTGTGCTTTAGCCGGAATTGTTTCTTGTCAAAAGCCTTTGTGGAAAGAGCCGCTTGCTCATATCAATAATGCTGAATTACAGAATTATTTGCTGAAAGTTCATCAACGATGTCCAAATATTACCCGTGTTTATGAATTAAATCAACGGAGTGTAAAAGGATGGCCACTTATCGTGATAGAAATTACAAAGCATCCTGGAAAACATGAAGAACGTGAGTTGTTTTGATCTTTTAGACACCATATGGAGCACATGTTTTACATTACATTGACTTATAATCAGTGCTTATATTAGTAATCAGGAATCACCTATAGCAATTTTTGCTATAGTTACTCATAGTTTTTTTTTTTTTTTTCATTTTATGTACATTTGAACTAAAACTGTTAGCCTATTCTTCATCAGTTGTTCAAAACGGACTGGAGAGATTCTAAACTTAACATATGCATTTAATATGAATTCATTTTGCTTTAATGAACGTTTTTCAAAAATTTTATGTCTGGTAAACGCAAACATCATTGTTATTTGTTGTTCTTTTATTTATTTATTTTTTCATTCTAATAATTAACATAAATCAACCAGGCTGCAGCTGTGGATATTGATAGCTTCTTTCTGTATTTAGCTGTAAATTTATCTTTAATTTATTAGTATGTGTGCATAATTGTTAAAATAATGGAAATAAAAGCGCTTATTTTCACAATGCAAGTGCTTAATATGTAATACAAGAACTTAAAAAGACAAGTTCTTATTATTCAATGGCATCCCTATTAGCCACCATACTTGTGCAGAATGGGGGGGGGGAAGCTACAAGGTGCATTTAAATTTGAATACAATACCTTACAAGTTGTGGACAAATAAATGCGTAGTATAAGCCATATAAGTATAAAATCAACTGCATAAATTCAAAATTAATATTAAGAGACAGCATAATATGCACCAACAAAAGGGATTAATCTAAAGCAGAAATTTTGCTAAAATTCATGATCTGCATTTTAACCCCTTAGTTGTTGCGAAAAACGTACAAGATTAATTTCTCAGTGCCACAGGCATCCGTAGTTATGTGATGTTTTAGGGGGGAAATAAGTGCAAGTTTTACTTTCTAAAAACTGTTTACTTTCACAAAATAAAAGAAAAAGATGAATGCACAAAATTTAATGTTTTGAGTAAAAGTATAATAAAAGATGTAAGTATAATAAAAAGGATGTTTTTATAATAAAAAAGGTCCCTAAAATGGAGTTTCGATCAATTCATTTTTAGATCAGTAAAGTGTAATATCAGGTTTCAGTGTTATCCTTGTGAAATCAGTATGCCTAAAAAAATATACCTTTTTTCTGAACTGGTTGAATGCCACGATTTTGTTCTTGATTTTTCGTTTGCAAGGTGTTGATTCATATACTCGTCTACAAAACGGTTAGTTTCAGTAACAATATGAAGCACGAGCAGTTCATAAAAAAATAATTCAAAAAAGATAAATGGATATGAAACATCCGTTATATCTTTATTCCTGGAACCTACTACAAAAAGTAAATGAAAATGGAGGACACAGAATAAAAAAATATGTTTTACTCAAACAATACCAGTTTTACTCCAACAACTGTGCAGTCATTACTTTCACCACTTTAGACACATCCCTCTCTCCAATTTCTCCCCACACTTCTCTGAAATAGTATCCTCCTTCACATACTTTGTTAAGGTCATTGTGGTGTTGCATTCCGAAGCTTTGCGAATAATTTTACAGGTAACAGTGCAAAGCAAATGATAGTATTTTGGAAGGGCGTAAATATACACCCAAGGCAGTTAATGCATCGCCTGAGCAAGGCATATATATACACCTGCGGCACTTAAGGGGCTAATTCAGTATTCTGTTTTGAACCTGCCATGCACTTTGGCATGTATGTGTGCATTATGCACATTCATTACAGAAAAGTACTCTCTGTGCCAATGTGCATTACAGAAAATTACTGTGTGTACCATTTATAAACTACAGTCAAAAGTCTTTAATCCGGACTCGTCGGGACTTCGGCGATTCCGGATTATAGATCATCAGTTTAAATCTGGTAAGATGGCATGCAGAAATTATAAAATTAAAAATATAAAACTGTAATTTATGAAATAGAGGAATTATGATCTAAAGGGTATCAAAATTTACAATAAAAAGCTTAATATTCATTTGTTTACTTTATTAAACATTTCTTTCAATGCACGCATGGCCAACCAGCGGCCGAGCGGTAAAGTCGCTGAACACTGGTAGTTCGGTCCGAGGTTCGAATCCCGCGAACGGGCTGGCTGCATGGTGTTTTCGTGGTTTTCCCCATGTGTAACGTGTATACGAGCCAGTTTCCCTTAGAAAGTCCTCCATGAAGGCATCCCTCCCTTTAGGCAAATAGCCCTAGTGTGCTTTGCCATAATTAAATACACCACACCACCACCAATGCACGCATGTGTAAAGCATACATTATGCATAGTCGAAATTAGAAAATTGCAACCAGAAAACTGTTTGATTTGTATTCGTGATATTTATAATGACGAGGAATTTGATTTAAATCATATCAAAGACGAAGTACATCGAGATGAAATACTACATTTAGTAAGGAATTATAAGCCGAATAAAATAAAAACGTCTGCCCTAAGATAAGGATAGTGCTGACAGATCAACTTCCAGTTCATAGCGTCCCCCTCCCTGCAGAGCGGCGTGAAATTGATAAACATATTTTGGAATGATTAGAGAATCAAAGGATATGCCTTTATCCATTTTTTGCAACAATTCCACTTTTTGTTTGATGGACATCGAAACATGCTTTCGCTTTGTAGATCCTTTGGTAGCTCCAGAATCGGAAATTCTTTTTGACATAATTGAAAGTTCAAGCTTACTTATAAAATTGCTCTAACAGTCTGCAAAAAATAATAAGCCGGATCCAATTAAAAGATTAAGGAACAACGCAATCTGCAACATTAACTGAAATCGATAATTAGATAATTTTAGCTTAGCTTATACCATCCCGTTATTCATTAAACGTATTATGCGCATGCGTACACGCATATGCGCATGCATAAAGGTATTACATGCATGCACAGGAAGTTTTTAGCTTTGAGGTCGGGATTAAGGACTTTTGACTGTATTCTTAAAACTGGAAATTGCTTACAATTAAAAAAACTGCTCAAATGCGTGGCAAGTGCATAACAGAAAGTATCCTTAACCTTCCAGCACACGCGCTTGGCAATTTTACATGAGCATGCACACATCGTATTTTTTATGACATCTATTATTTTACTGTTTTTGGCATGAAAAACGACAGAAATGCGTGACTACAGTCAAAAGTCGTTAATCCGGACTCGTCGGGACTTCGGCGATTCCGGATTATCGATTTTTCCGGATTATAGATCATCAGTTTAAATCTCGTAAGATGGCATGCAGAAATTCTAAAATTAAAAATATGAAACCGTAATTTATGAAATAAAGAACAATTATGATCTAAAGGGTATCAAAATTTACAAAAAAATAAAAAAAAAGCTTCATATTTATTTGTTTACTTTATTAAACATTTCTTTTAATGTAAGTTGTTTAAGTTGCTTCATTTTATGTGATAATACTTTCTCTTTAATTCTATAAACAGACATAATTTCTTGTTCAGTTACAAAGTCCCGCTGTTCAAGTCCTGTTAATTGTTGTGCCAAGAATACCGACTAACTTGTCAATCGAAATTTTTTCATTTTCACTAACCTCTCTGTCACATTCTTCATGTCTTTATCAATTTTTTGCAGCAATTCCACTTTTTGTTTGTTGAACATCGAAACATACTTTCGTTTTGTAGATCCTTTGGAAGTTCCAGCATCGGAAATTCTATTTGACATAATAGAAAGTTCAAGTTTACTTTTATAAAATTGCTCTTACAGTCTGCAAAAAATAATAAGCGGGATCCAATTCGAAGATTAAGTAACAACGCAATCATTAACATTAACTGAAATAGATAATTAGATAATTTTAGCTTACACCGTCCGTTATACATTAAACGCGCAGGCGAAAACGTATTCTGCACTTGTGCACACGCATATGCGCAGTAGTAAAGGTCTTACGCGCACGCGTAAAACGCCTGTGCGCATGTGCCAACGCAGCACATGCGCAGAAAGTTTTTAGCTTTGAGGTCCAGATTATAGATCATTCCGGATTATGGGTGTCCGAATTAACGACTTTTGACTGTATTGATAATAAATTTGGACTAATCTTTGGAATATGGTAACAGGTAGGTTGGTGACATTTTGAAGGTCATTTGGAATATGGTAACAGGTAGGTTGGTGACATTTGAATTTTTTATTTAAGGCGATAAAGGTTACTAGGTAGTACTTTAGCAATTTTAATCTGAGAAGTGCACAGTTTGAAACACAGATTATTTTGTCTCAGAGAAATGAGACATGTCATTTGACATTTTCTGGAAAATTTCAATCGTGATTTTAGCTAATAAGCACTTAAGTGAAAATAGGTCTATGTGTACATGGATAAAGTCAAGAGTGTGCGCAATGCCATTTTTGTGCAATTCTGGGATGTTTTTTTAAGTGAAAATAGGTCGATGTGTACATGGATACCGCGTATGTGCAATTCTTAAAAAAACACGCGAAGCAGTGGGCGATTCTGCACTTTCTCCCAATTTCGCACCTAATCTTCATCATGATTAAGCACTTTTGTTTCATAAAAGTTCTAGCATAAGCGTAATTCGAGTAGCAGATTATTGGAAAAAATGTTGAGTAAAAAAAAAAAAAAAAAAAAAAAAATGCCTTTACTTCGTGAAAACAAAATGGCATTCCCCCCCCCCAAAAAAAAAAAAAAAAAACAAAAAAACTAGCAGGTTGCTGTAGCAGGGTTGGTCCCCAAAAAATAGGTAAGTTACCATAATCCAAAGATTAACCTAAATTTGTTAAGAAATAAAATATTAATCTTATTATTGCAAAATACAAATGATATCACATTCAAACATAATTATTTTTAAGTTCTTATGTTAGTGACATGGAAATGCAATGATGTACGAGGGCCATCCAGGAAGTAGATTACGTTTCCGTCTGTGTCCGCTAGGGGCGGGGCTAGCGCGGCCATCTTGGGGTCAGAGCGTTGCGCAGCTCAGTCTGCATCTAGCCGTGCTAGTGAGAGGTTCGTGCTGTGCTCCGTTCAGATACTGTGACGGTTTGAAATGTCTGCGTTAATTGAAAATCCTGCGAGGTGCGCTCAGTAATAAGGTTTCTGACTGCAAAAAACTGTAAACCGATAGAAATCTATCGGCAGCTTCGTGAAGTGTATGGGGACAACATTATCACTGAAGGTGGAGTGCGTCAGTGGGTCATAAGATTTCAAAATGGCCGAACCAATGTTCACGACGAAGATCGAAGTGGGAGACCCAGCATAGTGACCGCCGAAACTTCTCGAAAAAGTCGATGCTAAAGTCCGTGAAAATCGAAATTTCACAATAACGGAACTTTCTTTGAGTTTTCCACAAATTTCGCGAAGTTTGTTGCACGAAATCATCAGCGAAAAGCTTGGTTACCACAAGTTTTGTGCAAGATGGAAGGCAAGAAGAGGTAACGAAGTGGTTGAAGGCGCAGGCGGCCGAATTTTTCGACGAAGGAATTTCCAAGCTCGTACATCGCTACGATAAATGCCTTAATTTGTATGGTGACTATGTAGAAAAGTAGTATTTGAGTGTGGCTTTCATCTGTATATAATAAAATTTGTTTCCTATACTTTGTTTATTTTTTTATTCCAAAACGTAATCTACTTTCTGGATAGCCCTCGTATTTCATTATAGAAAATTTTAAAGTTATTATTTAATAATTATATTTTAAAATCGAAGCTAATTTTAATATTCATCAAAGAAAAGTGTAGACAGTAAAAAAGGAAAACACCTTGGTAGCGAAAAAAAAAAAAGTAAGTTTAGCATTACTTACTTCTGCAAGGAAATTTACTTCTTAGTGGTTACAGAAATTCACTTTAAACTAACTTTAATGTTTTTATTTATTTCTAAAAAATAGAAATAAAAGAAAACAAGGAATGGAAATCGCTATTGTTCTCCCAACCAAAAGTTTCTTCATCTTCTTTTTCTTCAACAAATAATTCTTGAAGAATCCGAGCAAAATCAGCTGGTTGCACATATTTTTTTTGCCATGAAAACCGATATAAAATTTACAGAGCCAAATGTATTCAATTTAAAATAATACATGGCAATTAATAACACAAAATTACAAAATATGTGAGAAAAGAATGTTTCCCGAATTTTAAAACAGGACCACGTGCATGTTGTAAATTTTATGAAAAAGCTGGCATGTAGCACAAAAGCCCAGTAAAAAAAAAAAAAAAAAAACTTCCTGTTGGCACAATCCATGATGTGGGGAAGGGTAGAAAGAAGAAATATAAATGAACTTCAGACAACTCGGCTTCGATATGTGAAAAATGTGCATTTAAAACTGAATATGTCATAAATTTTGCACATACGCGCATGCTGAAAGGTTAATTATGAATGATTTTGGCCAGTTTAAGTGTTGTATATAATTTCTAAAATTTAACCAGTCCTTAAATATTCGGGTGATAAACAAGCAAATAAAACAAGTTGTACACTTGAATATTCAATTTTATTGTTACCAGCATCAAAACAAATCTGTATTTCGAGAGTTTAAAATTTTCTCTTTGGGATATGCAGATAACTATCTAGTTTCTAAATGTATACACTGATTACTTTCATAGTATTGTTATTGAAAGCATCTTATCTCAAATTTAGGATTAATGCAGTTTACAGGATAGATTCTGTAATTTGTTGTTAATTGTGGTGACTAATTTAAAAATTTCTGTTGCAGTAAAGATAATATAAGTTTTAATGAGCTCAAAAATATTAAATTTTATTATTTTCATGCATTTTTAAACTAAATAATAATCTGAATTATTTAAAGCAAACATCAAGACTATTTGCTGGAAGAAAAGTGTGTTTTGTGTATACAGTCAAAAGTCTTCAATCTGGATTCGTCAGGACTTCGACGATTCCGGATTATCTGTTTTTCGGGATTATAGATCATCAGTTTAAATCTGGTAAGATGGCATGCAGAAATTATAAAATCAAAAATATGAAACCATAATTTATGAATAAAGAGCAATTATAATCTAAAGAGTATCAAAATTTACAAAAAAAAATTTTATATTTATTTGTTTACTTTATTAAACATTAAAAAAGGTCTTTAATCCGGGCGTCCATAATCCGGACCTCAAAGCTACAAACTTTCTGTGCATGCGTCAACACATATTGCGTTAACGCATGCGCATAATACCTTTACGAACTGGAAGTTGATTTGTCAGCACTATCCTTATCTTCAGGGCAGACGTTTTTATTTTATTCGGCTTATAATTCCTTACTAAATGTAGTATTTCATCTCAATGCACTCCGTCTCTGATATGATTTAAATCGAATTCCTTGTCATTATAAACATCACAAATACACATCAAACAGTTTTCTAGTTGCAATTTTCTAATTTCGACTATGTGTAATGTATGCTTTACACATGCGTGCATTGAAAGAAATATTTAATAAAGTAAACGAATAAATATAAAGCTTTTTTTTTTTTTTTTTTTTGTAAATTTTGATACCCTTTAGATCATAATTGCTGTTTATTTTATAAATTACGGTTTCATACTTTTAATTTTATAATTTCTGCATGCCATCTTACCAGATTTAAACTGATGATCCATAATCCGGAAAAACCGATAATCTGGAATCACCGAAGTCCCGATGAGTCCGGATTAAAGACTTTTGACTGTATATTCTAAGTCTTATAAATATGTATATATAAGATATTAGATACTAAATATTTTGTTCACTGATTTAATGTATATATTTCTTACTCTTTCAGTAAAACCAGAATTCAAGTACATTGGTAATATGCATGGAAATGAAGTTCTTGGACGAGTACTTTTAGCTGCACTTGCTGGTTACTTGTGTGATGAGTACCTTTCTGGAAATCCAGATATTCAAAAACTGATTAACATTACTCGTATTCATATATTGCCATCAATGAATCCAGATGGATGGGATATTGCAACTGAAGTAATTTTTATTAACTTTTGTATAAATTTCAAACAGTAATTGTCACAGAAGTTTTATTCTTTATTTTTTTTTTTTTTTTTTTTTTTTTTGCAGTTTTCATAAGTGGAGATTTCCATGTATTCTTTTTGTTTATTCACTGAACTTTTAAAGAACTTTTGGGGCTTTTTTGTTAAGATATAGCTTGCATTTTCAGATCACATTGCTACATTTTGGCTTATTTCTTGTGGCACTTTGGTTCAATAGTACATGAAACAAATTATCAGGAACAACAACAGGAAATAATCCCTAATAATTATTAAAATCCTCCAAAAACTTATTTTGGGTGAAGAAAGTGGCCTATGTTATTTTTTCTTTTTTTTTGGGGGGGGGGAATACATTTTCATCATTTGCTAATAATTCTGCTGCACCTATCAATTTTAACAATAGTACAAAGTAACAAACAACTGGCACATACCTCTCTTATGTAATTAATCTAGTGAACCCATTCGTTGAGGTTTATTTGAAGTAAGATTGGTTAGTAGAACACAGTTATATTAACTCTGGAAGTAACTCCTCTGTAAGTAAATGAATAATAACTGACATCATAAGTTATAAGTAAACAAATCTTGTGACACTGTCTGCTGAAAAAAAATATGGCATGCCAAGTGATATGGCTTTAACAGAAAAATACGAAATTTCCTAGTTTACAGATTTCTTGGTGTACATGAGCATTACAGCTTTTTACTATTTAAAACATAATAACTTCAAGTCTTTATTTAAGATTTAAGCACTTTAAATTATTGTACAATTATGAGTTATTTATACAATTAAAGTAAGAGACTTTGTATTTTTTCAGCCATGTAACAGTTGTCTAGATTGATTTAATATATCCAGGCATGTTATATGATCATATGCATATTGTAATGTTGAAAGTTATAATCATAAAATAAAATGTATGTATTATGCATCCTTTCAAAATCAATTGAAAAAGAATGCCTGGAAATATTTTGTAAAGAAACTCCTTTATTTAATAACTTTTTTTAAGAATAATAATTTTTTTCTGGTTAAAACTATGAAGATGCAGAAAGTTAATGTTAAATTTTTAGTGTGGGGGAAAAAAAAAAAGTAAGAGAACCCAAATATTTTTAGATTCATAAAATATATTTGTTGTAAACACTTTTTTTTTTTCAACCAATGGCTGGCCTTCAGCCAATTTTGCCTTGGTCACTACTAAGGCCAGAAGTGGTAGTCACTTAATTGTGGAGGCATCTACTAGGTGAGCCACCTTCTATGAAGGGATGGACTATTACAACCATGCCTTCTCCGGGATTCGAACCTGGGCCTTTTGGTATCGCAGTCGGCTCCCCTAACTACTATACCATCAGCGCGGCTTGTTCTGAAAACTGAAATATTTTTAAGTGAACATAAAGTTTATCTAATTTAAGATATTAATCAACTGATATTTTTATAATTTTACGGACATTGTCCTGATTAAGGTAAAAAGAAATTAGTTATGGTAGAATTTCTTTCATTCTTTCTTAAACCCCCCTTTTCTGAAACTAGCTGGTTTAAAAAAAAAAAAAAAAAAGCTGGTTTAAAAAAGTCAGATTAAAAAAAAAAAAAAAAAAAAAAAAAAAAAGAGTCAGTTTGTATTAATCAATAGATCTTATTTTCTAATATAAATTAAAGTTTTCTGTGAATGCAATGCAAATTAATAAATTTCAATTATGTTATTTAGTCAGGTGGAAAAGACTGGCTCTCCGGACGAGAAAATGCAAATGGAGTAGATTTAAACAGGGATTTTCCAGACTTAAATGCTGTTGCCTACAAAGCAGAAAAGCAAAAGCAGAGAACCAACCATTTCTTTTCTGCTGATGTTGTAGATCATAAGGTAAGCATTGCTTAATAGTTGTCAAGTAATGTAGATTTGGAACTGATAATAGTGTAGCACAATTGTTGTAGCAGAGTGGCATCTTGTCCAACTATGTAAATCATTTTTGAAACTGATAACAGTGCATAACAATTGTTGTATCAGAAATACTTTTTGTCCAACTGTATATGAACCTTTTTTTTCTCACATGGGTGACATTTGGATGTGGCTTTGCTATCTCTGACATCATGGGGCACTTTTTATGGCATTTTGCTGGGCATTCACATACATAAAAATTTGCATGCAAGTGAAATTTCAGGGTGGTTAAAGTTACCCCATTTAGACCTATGTAGAGTCCATTCTGGTAGACCTATTTTGTTTAAACTTGGTACATTCAGTATGCAGAAAAGAAAACTGTAATAAAAAATAATAGTTCAAATACTGACCACCAGGTGAAAAGGGGCTGCATGAAGAAAAATCACAAATTAGAAACACAAAATTTTATTTATTCACAGTGTTTGTTCATGTGCATTTCATTTGTATCAGCTTCACATTCAAGGCATGTTCAAGGGTACCATGAAGGTTTCTAGATCATTTTCAGCAAAATGATATTTTATGCATGCTTTCATTTCAGTTATAGTTTGTGTATTTAACCCATAGACATAAAAATCCCGACACCCAGAAGTCACTGGGATTCAAATTTGGAGAACAAGAGTGAGATGTGATCAGAAATCTTTTTAAAATTATCCAATCATGTCCAAAGTGGGCATGAAGCAGTGCATTCACTAGTCTGCAGTGTGAGGAAATGCACCATCTTGTATGGAAACAGTAGTCTCTAAATATTCTCCCTCTTGTAAGGCAGGAATGCCTTTTGCTGAAGAAGTTTGCAGTAACAAGCAACAGTGATAAAACACCTTTGAGGGCCTTTAGGAGTGTTCTCTTCAAAGAAAAAAGTGTCAAAAATGGAATCGGTAGTAAAACCACACCATACAGTAATGTAATCGGAATGCAAAGACTAGTTGTGAGCAACATTAGAACTTGCACTATTCCATATGTGCCAGTTATGAGTATTAACTATGCCATCTAAGGTAAAATGTGACTTGTCCCACCACAAAATATTCCAAGGTCAATGGTTATGCTGGAATGGTTATGCTAAAAGCCTAGTAAGTATTCTGGCCAAAGAAGAAATCACATGACAGCATTTGAGAACTTGTCTAAGAATACTGGGAACTCAACATTCTTTTGACCATGGCAAGAGTAATTTCTTCCACAGTTTCATATGAAATCTATTTCTTTTCTTTTTGTCACAGCTATACAACACTTCATTCTCTTCAAATTTAGTAACCATTGTTTTCAAATTTTGCTTTGACATAAGCCCTTTTTGTAAGCCTATCAAGCATTGATATTCTTGCAGTGCTGCTAAAAAATTATTGCCATTCTAATAAAATAACATGATGAGAAAAGCTCGATTTTTCTTCCTTACAGCAAGGTGAAGAAGGATTTTATGGCACTGATAACTATTTTTTGAAAACGTTCCAGAATGTTCTTTCTGCATTGCATAAACAGTGCAGCCTGTTGGGCGAAATTTGAAGTATTAATTTCTATTGCAGATTTCTTTTCCCCATAGTCCATGTATATACCAAGTTTAAAAAAAATAGGTCTACCAGAATGGGCTCTACATAAGTCTAAATAGTGTAACTTTAATCATAACCGCATACTAGTAAACAGGTCTCCTGGAAATGTAATTAAGTACAGTGCAACTCGCATATATGTGCTCAAATGGAGAATCAGTTTGAAGACAGGTAAATTGCCTTTGTGTTAGCTATATTTATTGTTGATACACAAAATTAACATCAATTAAATTTTGTGCAGAAGAACTGGAAATGTCTGATGAAACTCCTCATTGATTGAAAAACGTTATTATGCAAGATATATATGGTGTAGAAATGGAGAAGAGAGGAAATAGGTGGTGACAAGTTATAGAAGTTGACTAAAATCTCTTATCTAAAAAAAGATAATATTGGTTATATAACTATGTAAACTACAAGTTTTTAGAGGTATATGCTGAGAGATGAAAGAAACTTTTTTTTTACTGTGGTATCTAAGGAAAGGGTCACTATTTTAATAGAGAAATTATTGAAGATATTAAGGAAGAAAGTAACATCTAATTAAATTTCTGAAAAGGCTATTAAAAGGCTGGTTTTCTGCACAGTTCAGTGAACCACAATTATAATTTTGTAGAACCCGAAATGTCCATCCACACCCAAATAGTAGAATGATTGTGAGATTTTGCCAAATGGCATAGTAAAAAGCAAAAAGAAACAGCGCATCTCATATTGACTCACATGACTCTGAGTATGTCATCAAGCTCAAGTTGTTAAGAAAAAAGACCATGTTGAGTCATTGTTAAAAATGACAGCCAGCAAATTTCTACAAGAAAAACAAAATTCCACAAAGCAAGCCAGCCTGATTGCAATAATATATAAGACTATATTATTTCACTGACTATTGCATATCTAAAGCAGTACATTATTTTGCATTTATTATTTGCCCAAATTTTGCAGTAATGTTATATAAAATAAGTTATTAATTCTTTTTAATTTCTAAATTTTTGTCAAGCCTTCAGACAAAAATTATTCTATATGTATAATAATCATAATGAATTTTTGTAATAACTTAAAATATGATTTAAGTATTTCTTTTTAATATAGTTACAACCTGAGACAAAAGCAGTTATTCAGTGGATATTAAACAATCCTTTTGTGTTATCTGCAAATTTACATGGTGGGGCACTGGTTGCTAACTACCCATATGATGAAGCTCGAGGACCAAATAAACTTCATGACTATACTGCTACCCCTGATGATGATACTTTTAGGTAAATGCTTAGCTGTAATACTTTTAGGCAAATGCTTTGCTGTGTTTTTTTGATTGCTTTACTCTCTGCATTCCATTTTATACTTATTTAATAATTTTTACAAAATAACTTTCTCAGTTGTTAGAGATTGATGAAGATATTGAAATGGAAAAAAAAATATGATAACATTAATATGTTATATATCTTGGTAAAAATACATTTACAGGTGCCCCTTGGTGATAATTGGCGGTACATTGACACTGAGTTTGTGCAATTCTTTGACTTGTTATTTTGGCTTTGTGTAGCGGTGCCAAAAATCTTTGATACACAAATCGAAAATAACAAAAATTGCACAAACTCGGTATCCATGTACACATCAACATATTTTCACTTAAAAAAATCAGAGTTGCACAAACTAGGCACTGCGCTTTCTCTTGACTTTGTCCATGTATACATCCATCTTTATTCACTTAAAAAGTCAAAGGAGCAGCCAATAAAAAATATATAATCTTAATAAACTACATTTTAAATCAAACAATGAAACAACATAAAAAATGAAATTCATCATAGCACCACACAAAGAAAATATCCGCTTACCTTATTTACAAATTTAACGTGTCTTCAGTTAAACAAAATTCGTTAACAGCATCCAAAAACTTCCTAAAATTATCTGAACTAGAATCTGTATACTGGCGTCACCACATAAATTCATAGAAATATCTTCCATAGTGCTGGTATCATCCGATGTTCGACCATACACATTTCCTTTGTACAAACAGGCCACTTAACTACTAAGTAAACCTTCATTTACACACCAATCAATTAATGCTTTTTTCCCTTTCGTTCCAAATCGTACAGAAACTTCAAATTAATCTTATCACATTCAGCTATTTTACCGTGCAAACCACAAAATAACAATGCACACCTTATTCAAAATTATTGTTATGTAAGAAGCAAGTTTCTTAGGGAAGTGAACATGTCTTCCCGATCTGGTGACAGTTTGTGTCTTAGAGAGTTCGTTTGCAGATTTATTCTGCTGAACTGTCTTTAAGTCTTTATTTGTTTTCAGTTCAGGCAAATTAGAGTCCGAAAGCAAATAGGCTGGTTTCACACGGTCTATAGACACAGTAGATTTCAGACCGTTAACATCTATTGTGAAAGTTTTGTCCGTTCTAGAAAGGACTTATGCGGACCTGTGTATGGTTGGCACAGAGGTGGGCTTTACTCGATTGACACGTAAGTATACATGCGTACACCGACTTTAAGGTAGCACTTACGTAACATTTTTCTTGGCAATGTGCAGATGTTCTATTGGATTCAACTGTTGCATTCTATGCCTAAGATTTCGTGATAAATTGTGTGTCATACGGAGATATCTTAGATGACGTTATCATATCACTAGGCAGCTTGAGAGTTGTGCCGTACACAGTTCAGCACAAATGGACTGTAGATCTTCTTTTACGGCTGTCCGAATACCAAGCATAACAACTGGTAGTGGTTTCAGTCCAGTTAGCTCGTGAGCCTTGAGAGAAGATTTTAAATGTCGATGAAATCGTTCAACAATGCCGTTTGACATTGGATGAAGGCTGTTGTTGTGATTCTGTTCGTACCCAAAAATGCGCTGAATTCTGCAAAAAGTGCGGATCTCATTGAGAACCTTGGTCTTTGTTATGATCGATGGGCAGCCAAAACGAGATATCCAAAGTTGAAGATGGCTCTGCAAATGGTTTCCGTTTCCATATCCGGGATGGGAATGGCTTCAGGCCATCTGGAGAATCTATCTATTAGAGTCAAAGGTACACTTGCCTTCTGATGGAGGTAACGGTCCGACGATATCCATATGGATTTCTGAAAAACGTGCATCAGGAAGAGAGAATGTGCCCAGTGGTGCTTTAGTATGCCTAGTAATTTTCGATTTTTTTGGCAAGATTCACAGGATTTCACCCAATTTGGATATGACGTTTCATATCGGGCCATACATAACGAAACAAATAAGCTTCGTAGTAGCTGCAATTCCTGGATGTGACAGATTATGCAGATGATTAAAGATGAGTCTGCGAAGGAATTCGGAACAAATGGACGAGGAATGTCTGTTGATATGTCACAAAGAATATTACCATCGGAATATTGGCACGGTTTTAAATTCCAGTTTTCAAAGATGATGTGTTGTTTTTGAGAAGGTCTTGTACCTCCGGATCATGCCGTTTGAGCTTCCGAAAATTTTTTAAAAATCCAAAAATGGAGATTTTGTTATGGAATCAATTTTCGATTCTTGAAAGAGCGTCAGCAACGACGTTTTTTGAAACCTTGCACATGCCTAATATCAGTAGAGTACTGAGAAATAAAATCTAAATGGCGCAATTGTCGAGGTGAACATTTATGAGGGTTTCTGTTAAAAGCGTATATTAACGGTTTTTGATCCGTATAAAATTATAAAATTTCTGCCCTCTAACATGTGTCGGAATTTCTTAATTGCAGAATAAATAGAAAAATAATTCCCTATCGTACGCGGACCATTTCTGTTGACTTTTACTGAGTTTCATAGAGAAAAATGCTATAAGTTCCCATTTTTGTTGAGACAACTGCATAAGTGTGCGCCGATTGCGACGTCTGAGCATCTACCGATGCTTAGCTGGGCTCCGGGAATAGGGTTCTCAAAAGGGTAGCCTGAGCAATGGCATTTTTGGCAGCAATAAAGGCTTGTTCAGCATTCCTCGTTCCAATTTAATTGTGGGGATGAATCCTGAACACGAGAACGAGATTTCTTTTTATTAATATAGCCTTCTAACAATTTTTATTAAAGGAGAAAGAATATGTGCTGCTTTAGGTATGAAACATCTATAAAAGTTAAACATGCCTAAAAATCGGCGAAGCTGAGTGAGAGTGGTAGGTTGAGGAAAATCTAAAATACTTTGACTTGTCAGGAAGAGGTTCAATTCCGTTTTCACTAAGGTGAAAACCTAAGAAATCAATAGATGTTTGACCAAAGGTGCATTTTGAAACATTTATGCAAAGTCCATATTCCGAAGTTGGAAAATAAAGCTTTCAAATGCCTGCAATGTCCTCAGAATCTTTAGAGGCTATGAGCAAGTCATCGACAAAAGCGTAAACGCTTCGAAATCCCGCGTGACTTCATCTATAAAACGTTGAAAAAGTCGCGGATGCATTGCATAACCGAATTGCATACGGATACTTTCGAATAAAACCGAATGGTGTGCATAGGCGTTTTGTGGATGTCGCTGGGTTAATTGGTATTTGATGGTATGCCCTTAATCAGGTCGACATGACTAAAAATTTTAGTACCGGGCAATGCAGCAGTAAATCGGCTAAACATGGAATAGGGTATTTGTCGTTTATTGTTTGAGCGTTCAATGCTCGATAATTCCACAGGTCTCCATTCCAGACTTCCCTTTTTTGGAACCATGTGAAGTGGGGATGCATAATTTGCTGCTCGAAGGTCTCAAATGCCCCAATTGCATCATAGTTTGAAATTCTTGTTTTGCTATTTTTAAGCGATCTGAGCTAACCAACGAGGTTTTGCAACCACAGGTGGACCTTTAGTTATGATATAAAACGGTGTTATGGTTTAACAGGTTGGTTAGGATCTGGTAATCTAGTAACTGAAGGAAATTTTTTTTAAATTTTGTGATATGGTGTATCACTAAATACAGTTTTTTACTGAATAAATGCTTGCATTTTTCACGCAACCGACGGTTTTTAAAATGCGTTTTTAATCTTTGAGACATTTGTTTCTGAGAGATCAGGCACCAATTCAAGAAATGGAGAAAATCTGCTCCAAGAATGGGTGTACTAACATTTGCTATAAAAAGGTCCATGAAACTGTCGTCTTAATTTGAATCCAAGAAAGTGTTTTTTTGACCATAAACTGAATAGTAGAAGAAGTAGCAGCAAAAAGTGTTTGTTGGGACGAATTCCGTTTTTGAGAATTATTTGCTGAAGTAAGGACACGTCAGAGCCGGTATCGACCAAGAATGAAATGTTTGTTCTACGGTCACGAACGAACAGGCAACGTGAAACTTGAGGCAAAGATAAGTCGCCTCTATTCTTTGCTGGTTTCGTTTCCCTGCCATGAACAAGTTTTGTACATTTGTCATCTCTACACTTTTTCCCCCAAACGTCTATGATACCAGCAAACAGAATAATCTCTCCTTTTGGAATTGCTTCTTTTCCTTATTGCGATCTCCACGATTTGGCGAGCGACCACGAGAAAAGAGAAATGCGATCAATACGTTTGTTTAATTTTTCTATTTGTTTTAATAATTTATCCTCAAGAGACTGATCGACTGTGCGAGAACGGCACATGTCCCTGGGATTGGATTTACTCTAAAATCTGTCGGCAATTTCTGCAGCTTTGTCTACAGTTAAATGGACACCGCTCAAAATAGACTGAACAGTCGAAGGCAAACGTTTAAGGAATTCTATCTAACATTAAGTTAATCAGGACATTTAAAAGATTCTGCTCGACGTTTCATATTTTAAGCAAATCGGAAGGTTTCGAGAGCCTATTCCTCTCCACATAATAATGGCGAATTTCTTGCTGAGAAGATTCTCCCGAACGATTTATTAACTCAGTTTTAAGCTTTGCATATGGATCAATAGGGTCTGGTTTCATAAGTAAATCCCGTACCATTGATGCAGTATCTGGGGAAGATGAGCAACTACATAATTATATTTAGTAATGGATTCTGTGATAGGTTTTGGGGGTGGCAAGAGCAAAGGTACTTTCACACATAATAAACCATAAAGATGGGTCTGATCGGTTATAAACCGGAATTTGGACGGCATGAACATCAGACATTGTGCAGGTTTTTAAGCCAAAATAAACGCAAAAATTTTAACTAAAGAAATGAAATTAAAATGATAAAAAAAAGAATTATAAATGATCTATAATTACTACTCATCTGTGATCCGGAGGACGAAAATCGATGTAATCCATTACTTCTGGTTTGGAGATCTTGAGTGATGGCTTTTAGTCAAAACCGAAAGTGCTTGGAAAACTG